ATCTATCCTATCTCGGCCTTCCTCCCCTTATCTATCCTATCTCGGCCTCCCTCCCCTTATCTATCCTATCTCGGCCTCCCTCCCCTTATCTATCCGATCTCAGCCTCCCTCCCCTATCTATCCTATCTCGGCCTCCCTCCCCTATCTATCCTATCTCGGCCTCCCTCCCCTATCTATCCTATCTCGGCCTCCCTCCCCTATCTATCCTATCTCGGCCTCCCTCCCCTACCTATCCTATCTCAGTCTATTACAGCTTGTTTTATTATTACAGCTTGTTTTATTATTACAGCTCTGTGTATTATTACAGCTTGTTTGAGTATTATAGCACTATGTATTATTAGAGCTTGTTTTATTATTACAGCTTGTTTTACTATTACAGCTCAGTGTATTATTACAGCTTGTTTTACTATTACAGCTCTGTGTATTATTACAGCTTTTTTATCATTACAGCTCTGTGTATCATTACAGCTTGTTTTACTATTACAGCTTTGTGTATTATTACAGCTTGTTTTATCATTACAGCTTGTTTTATCATTACAGCTCTGTGTATTATTACAGCTTGTTTTACTATTACAGCTCAGTGTATTATTACAGCTCTGTGTATTATTACAGCGTGTTTTATCATTACAGCTCTGTGTATTATTACAGCTGGTTTTATCATTACAGCTCTGTGTATTATTACAGCTTGTTTTACCATTACAGCTCTGTGTATTATTACAGCTTGTTTTATTATTACAGCTCTGTGTATTATTACAGCTTGTTTTATTGCTCTGTAAAGTGAACTTTAATCACATAAAGGAGCCTCCAGAAAGGTCTAAAAAGCTATTAACAGTGCTCGAGACTAAATTAAACAGAATTTGCAGTTAAGGAAGTTTAAACATCAGATCACTCTTTGCAGGAAGTGTTTAAGAAGGCTGTGTAAGTCACATGCAGGGAGGTGTGGCTAGGGCTGTATAAACAAAGTGATTTAACTCCTAAATGGCAGAGTATTGAGCAGTGAGACTGCAGGTGCATGATCTATACACCAAAACTGCTTCATTAAGCTAAAGTTGTTTTGGTGACTATAGTGTCCTTTTAATATCAGCGATGTTTAACCCCTTCAGGACCGGTGACCTTGTCCGTCACGCGGTAAAATTAACCCCGCGATCGGGGCAGACCAGCAACAGCAAATTGCGATGTCCCAGCACATGTGATCGCTGTTACAGCCAGTCACAGCGGTCACAATACTGCTGGGATATCGGATCCGCCTCCCTCCGCCTGTTGTGGGTTTGTGAAGTGGAGAGAGACGGATCGTTGCAACACTGTGTCCCAGAAGAATAGTGAATATCTATTAAAGGTTCCTAATCCCTTTCCCCTTTATTTAAAAAAAAAATAACCCTTTCCCTGCTGCTTGATCACTGCTAGCAGTGATCAATATACAGGTCACAGTACTTTACTGTGATCTATTTTTTTTTTTTTTACATTTAAGGGCTAAATTTTATTTTTTTTGTAACCCTAAGGGGTTCAATTTTATTATTTTATTAATTTGTGATTTAGTTAGGGGTTACAAAGAAAAAAAAAGTTTAGTTATTTAGTTTAAGTTTTCTTAGCTGTGTTAACTGTATTAACAATGTTTCGAAAGTATAGCGCAGAGGAGGCTTATGCCATGTTAGCAACCGACTCAGAGGCGACCGACACTGCCTCAGTGAGTGACGCAGGGGACAGGGACTATGTGCCAGATACTGCAGGAACATCATGGGAAATCTAATGTTCAACATGGCGCAGATGACTGGGTACCCCCTAATCATTTTTCGCCAGACATCCCAGAGTTCACTGCCAATCCTGGCATACAGGCTGACCTGTCTGGCTATAATGCGCTGGATTGTATGGAGCTATTTTTGGGGGATGAT